TTTTTTGGGATTTGTTGACACTGTGAAATTTTGAATCAACATATTTTCCTTTAAAATGTTACATTTACTAAGATTAAACTTTTGATCTGTCATCTATTTTATTACGTTTTAAATTATTCTGTTTTATTACAAATAAAATATTGACATTTGCCTTCTCCACATCATTGCATTCAGTTTTTATTCACAATTTGTTTAGTGTCCCAACTTTTTTGGAATCCGGTTTGTAGTTGCCAGGAACAGGTCCACCATAAAATTGAAATTTGCGCCCCCAACATGTCTGCAGCCACACGGTGCGTTATGCAACAAACTGAAACGAGGCTTTTTTCAGCTTTATCACTTTTACAAGCTCTTCTGTTGGATTAGTCGATGAGGGCCAGCCTTCATCCTTTGTATGGATCAGTGAGACTGGATTCTACCTGTGGTTGCTAGTTTTCCTTCCCAGGACTACTTTGATCTTGATCCTGACCTCTACAGAGCAGGATCTTCCCACAAAGTTGCAGCAGTAGAGATGCTATGACTGTTGTCGTTACAAAGTGGTCCTCATCAGAGCTGCTCATGTTTCCTAGCTTGCCCTTTCATTCTGCTGCTTGTGCCAAATGTTCCTCTTGAAATAAAATAGTTCCATGTGAGGGCGGAAGCTCCTTTGGAATTTGTTGTTCTGTTCAACCCATCAGACCTGCTCTGCTGGTGTACTTGTAACCTGAAATGGTCCAACCCAAGCTGCCACTCCAGCTTTGAACATCTTTTTGTTTGTGACATTAAAACAAAGGGAGGGAACATCGTCCCATATCAACATGGAGATGACTTTAACACAGAAGGGACAGTCGTGCGCAGGGAAAGCAATGAAACATAGATCGTTTCATTATAAAGAGTCCACAACAAGAAAAGACTGACCCAGATGATATTTTTGTTGAATAAAAATCCATTTTCTTTACTCCTTGGTTTGTGCTTACTGGGTGGATCAGAAAGCACACCAACTGAAGTTCGGTTGTCTCTCATTTTCAGGGCATAGAGCAGTTGAAAAAAGAAGAGCGAAGATGGACTAAAAAAACTAAGTGGATGAACATAAGGGCGGTATTTGGACACCAGTTCTCCTTAATGTGGTTTAGCCCCTTCTCCACCCCTGACCATGGCAAGGCTGAGACCTACCAGTATGTGGTGTGAGGGACCTGCTCCCACTGCTCAGCACCATTTACATCCCTCACAAGCAGGGGACTCCTTTTATGTTGCCAAACACGTGCACTGTTTAAACCTTTGAATGCCATTTGTTGCAAAGAAAAGCAGCTCTGTCAGTCTGTTGTTCTGCCAACACTGTGATGAACCTGTTTTCTGATCTCTGCTGTATCAAAACTTCCTTTGTGCTTCTTCGTGCTGCTGCTTCTTCAAAAGTTGGTTCAGCCAAATTACAAAGTTGAAAACAAAACGAAACATTTCTGCTGTCATGGTCATGCAGTTGGTTTGGTGGTAGTTAGGTATTTCTTTGTGGAATAATGGGACATAATGGGGGGCTGCGGTAACTTGGTGGTCACTGAAGTGGTTAAAGTCCTGAGACTATGGGCGTCCAGTGAGTCACTGGCTGTGGTGACCTCTGCAGAAGGGAGCAGCCGAAAGAAACTTGAGTTTGAGTGGTCTACAGCTTCCTGTTTTGAAGTTTCATAGTTTTCTGTACATTTGAAATGTTTTAGCCAAATGTTAGCCTTTTTGTTTTGTTTTGTTTTTGGTCTTCTAAAAAAATCTGTAAATTCTTTGTAACTTTTTTTTTTACAGTGGTGATTTTATTTGTTTTTAACACCATGAAAAAAAAAATCCAATTACCAGTATGCATGAAAGGTGGACAATGGGAGAAAAGTGTTTTATGGTTAGTTTGTGGTCATAACTCCAGTGTTGGTGGTCTTCCATAAATACCATGCTCATTTTGTAAAACTGGCTTGTAGTATAAAAAAAGAGACATATTAATTTAGAGTTTGGAAACACAAATGATTGTTCAAACCCAGTTTATTTTTTCACACTTATCCAAACCTGGAAAATACTAGAACTAAGTTTCTTACTTTAAAGACTAGGAGGAGTGGTGGTGCAGAGGTTAGAGGAGTAGAGGAGGTGGACCTGTGGTCGGAAGGTCACCAGTTCAACCCCCCGGACTGACAACATCAAAATGTGGGTGGGAAAGGTGAAGCACTGCCTCCACCCTCATTTGCCCCACTGCGCCCTTGAGCAAGGTCCCTAACCCCCACCTTCTGCTCCCTCAGGCGCCCTAGATGGCAGCTCTGTGCTGCACACACAGGGCTGTGGTAGCTCAGTGGTCTGTGGTTGTCAGGAAGGACATCCAGTGTAAAAATCAATCGCCACGTCTTCATGTGAGTTAGTTCACTGTGGTGATCCCTGAAGAAGAAGCAACTGAGAAATAAAATTTAAAAAAGGACTCCGTAGGAACAGTGGGAATAAATGTAGACCCATTTTTTTTTTTTTTTTTTTTTTTTCATTTAGCCTTTATTTATCCAGGTTAGTCTCATTGAGCCACGAGAACTCATTTTCAAGAGAGACCTGTTTAGGGAGCACATGGTGGGGGTTAAGGGCCTTGCTCATGGGCCCAGAGTGGGGCGAATGAGGGTGGGGGCAAGTGTGGGTGTTTCACCTACCCCACCCACAATTTTGATGTTGTCGGGGCCGGGGCGTGAACCGGCGATCTTCGGATCACAAGCCCACCTCTCTAACCTCTGCGCCACCACTCCCCCATTTTATTTTTTATTATTTATTTTTTAGATTTTATTTCATCTGTGCATGTGATGGTTTTCTCTGGGTACTCCAGTTTTTATCCACAGATCAAAAACATGCACATTAGATCACTGGTGTCTCTAATGGTCACTTGGTGTGAGTGAGAGTGAAAGGTCCTTCTCATTTGTCTCTCTGTCCCTGAAATGGACTGGTGACCTGTCCAGCTTGTACCCATCCCTCTTCTGTTACCACACCAGCTCCTGCAGCCCTGCACAAAAACTAATGATTTAATCCCTCAGTTATTTATGAACCTTGTTAAATTAAACGCCACCTAATACACCTGCAAACGTTTCCCGTCTGAATGAAGCTCTGAGCTCAGAGTCAATTCAGCAGTGAGATGTGTAGAGTCAGTGTTACTGAAGTCGCTGCTGACCTCGTCAGATGCTCAAACAACATGCAAGAATCAGAACCATTTCAAGTTCCAGCTGCAAAAAGCCAAATGTTCTTTTGTGATTTAGTTGAACCAACAGTGTCTTGTGTGTTCCAAAGACTATCAACATCTATATTTTGAAACGACTCAAGTTTGATGGGACACTTCAAAGATGGATCCGTGCTCAGACTCATTGTTTTACTTGGTGCCAAACATCTCATAGTTTTTACTGTGATGAGTTTCTTTTGTCCCAACACTCTCAGGTGTTGCAGCAGTCCACCTCCAGTTTTACATGAACAGCTCAGATGAGCTCATCAGTGTCTCACAATGACTTCATGTTCTCACAGTAATACTGGTTTTAGTTAACCTGCTGCCAGTTAAACCATGTAAGGTCAATGAAATGATGGCGAGCGCTGCAGTGTTCCATCAGTGCTCGTTCTTCACCTGTCTCTGTGAAGCTGACTGACCAGGGATCAGTGCTGTGAAATGATGTTTCTACTGCAACACAAACGACAGCTAACAACAGAAGACTCTTTCAAATCAGTCCACGTGTTTTATTTATTCTATCTGTCAGTGCTTTTCATTGTTTAGTTTGCTGCAGTTTAAGAATTTTATTCTAAATGTATTTTTTGTCAATTATAATGTGAAAATGTTTCAGATGCATCAAATTCAGTATTTTATTTGTTCACTTATGTTTAAAATTTACAGTGAAACAATTGTATTTTTAATTTTCTTGAGGGAAGTTTTTTGTTTTCCCCACTTTATTTGTTCTTTGTTCTCTCTGACTTAACATTAGATACAAGAATACAAACAATGTCTTACTGGTTACTTATGACCATGTTGCTGGTGTGGAACGTTCCAGATAGTTTTCTGTTGCATGTTCGGCACAGACAAAGCCTCAGTCAGAGCGGGTTGTTTTGAACTGAAAGGTTTATGTTTTTATGATTCAATCAAAGAACTGTAAAGGTTTTTATTTAATACCAGTCACAACTTTAGCAAGAAAACCAGTCAACAAGCATGTTTAGACAAAAGTTTACCACCCTAAAGAAAGTAAAGCCTGACCGATATGGACATTTTGACTATTGCCGATACCGATTTAATGGCTGAACATATTTGAGCTTTGTCCACCCCCAAGGATCCAAATAAACAGTGAGTGGGGCGGGCCTTGTTTATTTAGCACAGCTGTTAGCATCCATGCAGCTAAGCTAATCAGATCCACACTACATCTAGTCCCACAGTAGGTTTACCAGTGGTGCACTGGTCATAAAAACATCTTCCTAACATGCATTCATATTTTCTGTCCTCTACTAATCACCATAAACTTATCAAGTGTGTTACATAAATATAAATTAAACAAAGAAACGCCCTTTCCTGTTTATTATTTAAACAGTCATGTATGGTGAATTAACTGCAGCTGAGTTTATTTTTCTTTGCAGAGAAGTAAAGATTTCAGACAAACGATGTATTTCATTGAGCACGACAAAGATAAAGTTGCTAACTCTGATATATTTACCTCAACGTTAGATTTATTGTTCTGGATAAAGTTTTACAAGGCAATAGCATAGCTTATGCTATGTTATCTAAATGTTAGTTTGCTAACTTGAGAGGCACATATCTAATGACAAGAAGTTTAGACTAAAGATTATTTATTGTTGATTTATTTTACAGCTCAGTTAAAATGAACTTGCCATGCTCTGTTCAACAAAATATGCTACACAGCTGCTCCGTGCTTCATCTGTGCTGAAAGTGAAACTTAAGTGCAAGTCCATCATTTGAAAGTAGTCGTCATGCGCCCTCTGCTGGATACATTCTACAATTACAGCTGGTTCCAGCATTTTAGGGTTGAAAATTAGAAATTCTTATATCGGTGAATAATGGGACAGTTATCACAGACATGTCCCCAAACACCTGTACTGGCCTAAAATATCGTCCCTACAGATATATCGGTCGGGCTCTAGAAGAAAGGTTTATCTTCCCACCCTGACTTCCTGTTTGTGTGCACGGGTGGTTCAGCTCCAACCCTCTGAGCTGGTGCTGTGAGAGCCTGCCAACATTCAGCCCGTCCCCACACTTTTATGATTTTATTGGAGAGTTTTCATGTGAAGTTTGTCATAAGAGTCAGAAATGGTTCAATCCTGTGTGACGTTTATTCAGGAAGCTCAGGATAAAAACATCTGCAGCAGCTGGTGTTGGCTTCTGCTCCTTCATGGGCAACTTCAAAGCATTTAACGCAGTATTAACTTGTATCGTTTATATGTACACATGCACTAAAAAATGGAAACGTTGCACTTTGTTTTTATCATTAAAACTCAGTTCAGTGTCTTTGGGTGAACTGAAGTTTTGACATTTTGTAAAATCATGTTGTTTTTTAACTGCTCTGCTCTTTTCTATTTGTTGACATGATTCAGTTTGTGTCCTGTGTTTCTGGATGAATGCATGTCATGTATGTGAAAACCATCAGTATAATGACGAGATGAGTTTTTCTTTTCCTTGTTTTTTGTTTCTTTTTAATTGAAACCTGAATTCTTTCTAAAGATTCTGCGATATTTTAGCACATGCACAGAGAATAAATCCTTCTCAGTTGCAATGCAAAACTGTGTGCTTGCTTTTTCTTTGGGGTTTGCCTTTTATTTTAATGACTTTTTGGATCAAATAAAATGTTAAAGGAACTTTACCTGAATTCAGTTTTTTGCCGTGATGACCTGCACACACTGTAATTTCTTTCCGCCCTTGTCTTCCATTCTTTGTGTGTAATCTGCCTTTTTCCTATGCAGTGTCCTCTCCACACTCATGCATTCTGCTTTGGTTGATAACTCACTCTGCCCCGACAGCTCTTTATAACCTTGACACAGGTAAGACTGCAAAAAGAGCTTTCATCTAACAGTCCCATCGAGCATGCAGCTTTCAGGCGTTGAAGGCTAAAGTGTGCCCTCGAGTCTGTTTCACTCCAAGTTCAACCAAACGATGTGAATGAGTGAGCTGTGCAGAAGGGATGGGCACTTTGAGCAAAACACAGTTAAAATTACTTAGTAATTATTAGTGAGGGCAGCACGGTGGAGCAGTTGGCAGAGCTGCCGTCTCTCAGTGATTGAGAAGGTCACTGGTTCAAATCCCAGCCGAGGAACTTTCTGGGTGGAGTTTGCATGTTCTCTCCGTGCATGTGTGGGTTTTCTCCAGGTACTCCAGTTTCCTCCCATAGACCAAAAACATGCATGTTAGGCTGACTGGTAACTCTAAATTGTCTCTAGGTGTGAGAGAGAGTGAATGGTTGTTTGTCTTATTTGTCTCTGTGTCCCTGTGATGGACTGGAGACCTGTCCAGGTTGTCCCCGCCTCTCAGTGACTGCTGGACATGGTCACTAGTGACCCCCGTGACCCGAAAAGTAAGAAGCAGGTAAAGAGGCTGGATGGATGGATGGATGGATGGATGGATGGATGGATGGATGGATGATTCAAGCTTCTGGCAGTGCACGCTTATTTAGTCCTTTTCGCGTGCTGAGGTAATTTACAAAAGTGTCAGCAACAGCAGAGGAAGTTGTTTTAATGAGGGTTAATCTCAGCTGCCTCTATAATTTTAAACCATTACTATTTTCATAATGTAACTTTAAAATAAATGTTCTCACTTGATTGAGAGTTGTAATGGATTTAATTTAGTCCTCCCCGAGTCTTCCAGCTGATAAACCCTCTAATGAAATGGGCTTTAAGTACAAAGACGTCTTCTGCTGCTGGTCTTGATAGATGGTAATCTTTATATTCCTTCATTTGATCCAGATTTTTGAGACAATTTGGAGGAAAATGCACAATACAACAGTAAAGCTAGGACAGAGTACATGTGTGTGAATGAGAGGGAGGAGGTGGAACAGTGAGGCTACAAGGAGCAGAGCTCACAAAGGTGCAGGACTTCAAGGACTTGGGGTCCACTGTCCAGGAAAATGTGGAAGAAGAGTGTCAGCAAAGATCAAAGAAAAAGTTTACAAGACAGTGGTGAGACCAGCTGTGTTGTATGATCTGGAGACAGAGATGGACAAAAAGACAGGAGACAGAACTGGAAGTAGCAGAAATGAAGATGTTGAGGTTCTCCTTAGGAGAAACAAGGATGTATAAGATTAGGAATGAGATCATCAGAGGTACAGCACAGGTTGAACAACTGGGAGGTAAAGTTAGAGAGACCAGACTGAGATGGTTTGGACATGTCCAGAGGAGGGACAGTGGTTTGGACATGTCCAGAGGAGGGACAGTGGGTATACTGGTAGAAGGATGTTAGAATGCATCTGCCAGGAAAAAGACAAAGAGGAGATATATGGATGCAGTTAGAGAGGACATGGAGGTAGTTGGAGTGAGGACAGAGGACATGGAGGTAGTTGGAGTGATGACAGAGGACATGGAGGTAGTTGGAGTGATGACAGAGGACATGGAGGTAGTTGGAGTGATGACAGAGGACATGAGGTAGTTGGAGTGAGGACAGAGGACATGGAGGTAGTTGGAGTGAGGACAGAGGACAGAGTGAGATGGAGGAGGACTATCTGTTCATATCCCTGAAGAGGGAACAGATGAAAGAAGAACTGCTCTAGTAGTGAAGCTGAGCTCACCCTTGGCTGTACGGTAGTTTCCACATTCTAGTTCTTTGATATAAAACTACAGAAACAGACTCTGCGAGTAGTTTTTTCATCTCCAGCAGGACTTGAACGGTCGGTGTGCTGCTGAAAGAAGCACCTGACTGGAACAAGCTCTGTTGGGGAACAGAGTCACTGCCAGGTGCTGGTAACAAACAAGAAGTTGTGGCTATTACTTTTCTTAGATCCACTCATTTGAATCAGCCTTTAAACATCAGACGGTCGCTGCCCATCCCTCTGTAAAGAACATGATGCATGCTGCGTATTGTTTGCATGCGAGTCATTTATTGTGTGTGGCAGCTTCCACTGAGAACAACTGGTTGTGATTCACATGTTTGAACACTTGTCTCCATGAAGTGGTCCTTCCACAACAGTTCTGTGATCCAGTCCTCTGGCAGGCTGAGCCTCAGCCATGTTAGCACCATCCTTAGTGACGTAGCTGTAATGACCCCCTCCACCCCAGAGCCTCACTGTGGTTGTCCTCTTCAGGGGATCGAGCGGCTGAAGGGAGAAACAGGAAAGTGGGGGAAGATGCCATGTTGGGAGGCCTTGCGGTCGGCGTTCGGAGGCCCTTTCTCGCTGACTTGGTTCAACCCTCTATCAGAAGTGAGCTGCCAACGTCCCCCAGCACACCACACCACCGTCCCACAGGGGGAGATCATCGAGGAGGACGTCATAGAGATCCCACTCAACTAGATCCCCTCCGTGAGGACGACGTT